TAAATCTAAGATTTGAAAATTTAATACAAGTTTGTCAATCTTTATCACAAATAAAAAGTCCACCGGAAATTCAAATTACATTTTTATTAGCATTTGAAATTTAAATTTTTACAACATTGGATTTTCACTTTTAGCGATTTTCTTATTTTGGTGTAACTCTAAAACAAATGACCGTAGATACTTGAAATTTTCACTGAATGTTTATATAGGAATTTGCTATATTTGATTCAATTTTCAAAATATTGCATTATTGCAAATATTTAGATTTGTTTTGAGCTGTTTACTGACATTTTAATTTTTCAACATTTAAATTTATTTTTTTTCTATAAACATCGTTAAAAATTTATTTGTGGGGTGGAAAAGCTTGGAAATGTAATACAAGGGTTCTAACATATTGTAACAATATAGGAGTTGAAAAATATTTAAAATACATAGGCATGATTTTTTTTTTCATAAGTATTTCAAGTTCAAATTTTGACTAAATACGGAAAAATTACGGCAATATTCAAATTATTTTAGATAGAAATTCATAAAAGTTTTTCTATTTAGATCTAAGATTTGAAAATTAAATACAAGGCTCCTAAAATATTTTTACAATAGCAGTTGAAAAATAAAAGAAATACAGTCACAATTTTTTTTACAAGCATTCAAATTTTAATTATGACAACATACATAAAAATCACGAAAATTCGCAAATTATTTTAAGCTAGAAAGTCATAAAAATGTTTCTTTTTAAATGTAAGATTAGTAAGATTTGAAAATTTTTAATAATCTATAATATATCCTAGACAGATAAACCGTCTCCACTCAGAATCGTTTTTCGTATACAATGATATAATATCATTGGATTCAAATTTAATTCCATCCATTACAGTAACCCACTTATAACTTACTGTGTAGCAGAGTGACATCCACGACTTACCTGCTTTTTTCATATAGAAATAATTAATAAATTCAAAATTATATCTTTCTGTTTCGAGAATGTATTTTGCGGAATATTGAATTCCTTGATGATTTCACATTTTCACTAACTATCTAACATTTTAACTGAACCATTTTCTGTTCTTATATATTATCTCTATAGTCAAGATTACGAAAAATAATTAATTTTATGTCATGTTATTAA